AGTGGACTAATTATTGTATGCTTAAACTGTAGTAAAAATTTTATACTCATTGGATCATGTATAACTTAGTTATAGATTTTATTTAGGTTTATGCTTGTTAAATATAAATAAATCTATAACTAGGCAATACATGATCAAATGAGTATGAAATTTTTACTATAGTTCAATCATATAATAATTAGTCCACCATAAAAATTTCATCATAATTGGACCATAGAAAACTTCAGCTATGAATTATTCTAATTAATTACATAAAAGCATAGATCTAAAGCCATAGCAAAAACTTTGTATTAAATCATACTATATTATATGTTCACTGTGTAAATCTACTCATGTGGAGTCCAACAAATTGGATTTTCCATTTTATGATTTTTCTGTGATTTACTATGATTTTTTAAAAATTCAGCCGAAATAAATAAAAAAGAAAAAGATAAAACTGCCTTCAAAACTGCTTATAAGGGGGTAAAATAAACGGTTTCAAAGTTGAGGGATGCGTTTTGCCCGATTTTGGAGTTTAGGGAGGAAAAGCGGATTTTCGCGAAAGTTGAAGGAGTTAATGTGGATTTTTTCCAATCATTAATGCTTTGCTTTTGGTGGCGGTTTTCGGCCCATTTGATCCACCATAATGAGCATTGGGCCCAACCTTTGCATTCCTCTATTGTCAGCGCTAGTCTACAAACGGGAAAATTTGGTATTCAGCCAATATTGTCCAGTGGGCTGATAGTAAAGAAAGGGAAAAGATGTCCAATGGGCTCCTCTTATTGTTCAGTTCCTAAATGAGCCCGCTATTTGCTTTTTTCTTTCTTTTTCTTTAAAGTTCCTAGATGAGTACAGGTAGTTGCCACACTCAATGAGCCCAGTTCGGGATCAAAGAAAAATGATCCCAATTAATTGCCCTACCCAGACCTAAGGTGCGCCCACAATGGCCCAGCAAAACTCGTGTGAACCCTACGGGCCATGTAGACGCATACATGCTGTCCGGCCCTATCGGCAGAACCTTTGAAGAACAGGATGGAGGTCGGCCAAGAGGCCCAGTAGACTTGGCCGGCCTTTAATTTTGAACTGAACCTTTTTTTTCCCCCTTGTAAAGAAACCTTCTGTCTTTTCATCAGAGATAATAATGCGAAGAACTGAACCTGCCCACGAAAGAAATGGATTGCCAATCTAGCTTCGGTAGTGCTAGCGCCCGAACGTCCGGACGCTTGCGCTGCACGCCTGCAATCCACGCTTGTGCTCCAACCAACACGCCCCCGCTTGCGCTGCCGGACATCGCCCGCACCCCCAGACCGCGCGTGGGGACCACTTGCGCCTCCTCCACTTCTCACACATATTGCAACATGTGCAACACCTGATCAACTTTTGCAACATCTATATGAAACACTTGCAACATACGTCCAAAACAACTAAAACATCTGCAACATACCTCTGAAACACTTGCACAACACTAGAAAAAACTTGAAAACACGTGTGTAGCCATTGCAAACATTTGAAAACATCAAGATGAAATAGTTACAATATACGTATGAAACACACATGAAACACTTTGCATATATATGAAAACCTCGATCTAGTTTTGCAACATCCAAATGAAATACTTGCAACATACGTTTGAAACAGATAAAATATTTGGAACATACACTTAAACATACGTGTAAAGCCATTGCAACATGTGCAACATCGATATAAAATACTTGCAATATACCTATGAAACATCTGAAACACTTAAAAAATATGCTTCCAACATGCACTTTCAACGCAATGTCACCTTGCTACTTGGACGAATGGAGGCTCGTCGTTGCGGAGCTCAATGCCGGCCGGTTCATGGAGCTCGCCGGTGCGATAGCAGCACGGGCAACTCGCTAGCGGGGCGGCGTCGCACGAAGCTCCTCCCCTTGCTTGCTTATTGGAGGATCCGTCGTGGAGGCTGACTGGCTCAGTGGAGCGTGGAGCCTCCACGACGGGCAGATGCGCGTGCGTGCGGGGTGGAGAAGGAAGTGGGATGAGTAGGAGGAGCTGGGCGAACGTGGGCGCGTGGCGGAGGGCATCATTGCCGGAGGTGAGACCGCACGGGAGGCCTCTGAGTGCGGGTCTGGACACGGGAGACTCAGAGCCCATGATTGCAAGGATGTGAGAGAGGAGCGATGTGCGGTGGAGACAGAGCCAGGTGTGACATTTGCCACAAGCAGGCTGCCTGGGCTGGTTTGCAGGCCCAATAAGCAGACGTCTCGCGGACGGACGCCTTGACCCAAGAATTACCGATCTAGCTGAGCTTGGTTTTTCTCAATTTTCTTAGTTGTCCTCTTCTTTCACTCTTTTTCCGTTTCCTGATTCCCTTCCCCCCTTTGTTGTTCTGTACTGTAACTTGCTCTGCGCTTTGCAGGTTTTAATTTAGTTCCAGTAGGGACACGCTCCTCCTGTTTCCTCAAGAAAAAAAGAGCCCCCACTATTTTCTTCAAAAAAAAATTGAGAATAACCTCCCTAATGAATCTTTCAAGTGCCGGTGTAAGTATTACTTCCTCTGTTCCAAGCTATAGTTGACTTTTACTTTTGTTTCTTGGTAGTTTTAACAGAACAAATCTGATATTTTATATGTTTGATTAATCTTTTTTAAAAGATACTTAGCCCAAGATCCCTAAGTCAGAAAAAATCGATGTTTCAGACGCTAACACTGCGCATGCAGTTCCATGCTGAGAGAAGTGAGTGGGGTTGGGGATGACAGCTGCAGATCAAATACTAGCAGCTGCAGCAGCTGCATCGTCGTCAAATCGTGTTGCGTTGCCCTTGCCCGCAAGGCCGGCCGGCGGCATGAACGTGAGGGTAGAGATGGCAACTGGCATGGCAAGGCAGCCCCGGCCCAGCCCGGCTCCCCACCCACCGTTCACAAACTTTTACCACCTTTTTGAGCAACAAGAAAACAGAAGCTCAAAGAGCCAAAGATACTAGTGCAACTGCCAGCAACTTGCCCTTTGCCCCGCCCCTGCTCGATCACATGCATGGTTCCGCGCGTCTCGGGAGCTGCCGGCCGGCATGGCGTTCGCGATCATGGAAACAAACGAGAGGCGAGGCACGCCGCACGGGCGAGGCTGGAGGAAAGGCAGGCGCTCACGGGACACGACTGTTTCTCTGGCAGCCAGCAGACGGAGGGAGGAGGTTGGTTGCTTCGCGAGCAGGGTGCGGACCGTGAGCACTGAGCTCAGCATGCACGCTGCGGTATCTGCAGTTCCGCACACTGAGCTGCACCTGCACCCACCACCAGCAGCCAGAAAAGATCGGGGAAAGAATGGTCGTGACGGGACGGACGGAACGGAACCACCAGCGGGGGAAGTACTACACAGGAGGAGCTCACTGAATGCAGATACGGCCAAGTCTTTTTTTTTTTGGTTTGGTATAACTTGTCATTCTGACAGTCAAAAGTTCGGCAATATTATGTGCGTGTTCGTTGGTCTGGTCCTTCTAGACCAGCCTGCTGATCCCTCTCAGCAAATACTATTTATCAAGCGCAGCCAATGGATTAATTTGGTTCAGTTCAGGCAGCTGCAATGCAGCGGCGCATGAGGCTAATCAGCGTGCACGAAAGTTGCAGCAACTTCAGAAGCAACAAGCGCAGCCAATGGATTAACGGGTTCAGTTCAGGCAGCCGCAGCGGCGCAGCACCTGTCATCGTCATCGAGACGCTAATCAGCCTGTTCGCTGGATGGTTTTGGTCAGGACTTATCAGTTAGCTAATAGTGTTTTCCTCTCACAATAACTCAGTATTAAGCGGGCTTATCAGCCCAGAAGCCAACCATCAAACAGGTTGAATATCTGAACGTGATCACTATAAACAGATCAACATAGAAAACTTGTGAACTTGAAGCAGCGAAACAGGTGATTTCTTTTGGCCACTAAAACCATCAGCAGCAGCGATGCACAGGACGTCCAATTGCCCAAGCGACACAGCTCCCTTCTTAGTACATACATGACAAGCACAGTAAACTGTAACCAGAAACGATAATCATCAAGTTACAGTGTACTGAAATCAGAAATTTCACTGCCTGATACTCCCTCTGTCAAAAAAAAAAGTTCTAGGACATTAACATGTTAAAGTATCTTGAGTTTGTCTAACTCTAAATTTATAATGCGAAATAGGTATTATTAGATTTGTCATGAAATATTTTTTTATTATACTTATTTGATGCTATAAATATTAATATTTTATTTATATATTTAGTCAAACTTTAGATACGTTAAACTAAAATACATTTATAGAGTTTTAGACTTTCTTGGAAGACATAGTCAGCCTGTTTGTTTGTTGGTTTGGTAGGGAGTTTATTACCAATGTTGGTTTTCTCACAACAAATCAAGACTAAGCAAGCACCGATCGGGTTTATTAACCTAAAAGCTCTTAAATCATCCAACCAACCTAACAACAGCTGAGTATTACCAAATCAAACCGGCTGGAAATCATTTGAAGCTGTTGCCAAACTGCAGACTATAAACTTTTAGGGAAGTCACATCAACTTCGTGACATGAACGTATAATTATTTGAAGTCTCATTCAAGGTTCCGATGATGAAGTAGAAACAAAGACAGAGCTCGGTAGCAAAATGGAAGAGACACACAGGCACAGAGCTGAAGCCTGAAGCTGAACTGTACATAGATTTTCTGGGTTTTTTTTGGGTTCCATTTTCTCCTGAACAGAGCTAGTCCCCTCTTCTTCAGCAAGAAGAAGGCTGTACTATACATGGGTTGCAATGCAAAGATCAGGCAATACGAGCCCAGGAAGAGGAGGCCCCCTAAATTCCTGTTTCGCCTAAGGATTACTGCAGAACAAGACGAACACTAAGGATTACTGCTGCGTGCTACTAGTACTAGTAACCAACTACAGCACTACTGTCCGTTGACGATTGGCAGAACCAAAGCAAATAGATCAACTGAAAAAGGTCCCTCTACTCCTCTTGGATGAACGCCACTATCTACACTGCAGATGGATCCATCGGATGACGCGGCCGAGCATCTAAATCAGTTCACCGCCACACTTCCGCCGCGAGTCACAATCCATGGGTGCCCTGCAGGTAGATCGAAACACCAGGGTAAGATGAGCAGACAATTCAGGCGACGAGAAGGAAGCAATGGAGTCGGAAGGAAGGACCGACGAGGGCTGCTGCTGTTGTTAGCTTACTTACTTAGGACTTGCTCGGCGGAGAGCCTGCGCCAGACGTCCTTGCAGAGCATGCGGCGCATGAGGTCCTTGGCCTCGGGCGAGACGGCGGCGAAGGCGCGCGGCGGGAATCGCACGTTGCCGCGGAGCACGGCCTGGAAGATGTCCCCCGCGGTGGCGCCGGAGAAAGGCACGGTCCCGGAGAGCATCATGTAGAGCACGACCCCGGCGCTCCACACGTCCACCTTCTCGGTGTACTCCTTGCCGGCCACCACCTCGGGCGCGACGTAGTAGGGCGTCCCGACCAGCCCCGTCAAGGGCCTGCCGTCCCCGAACCAGTCCGCGGAGCCGAAGTCCCCGAGCCTGAGCGCGCCGCTGGCGTCGAAGAGGAGGTTGTCGGGCTTGACGTCGCGGTGCGCGACCCCGCGGCGGTGGCACCCCGCGAGCGCGTCCGCGAGCTGCGCGACGAGGCCCGCCGCCTCGGGCTCCGGGAGCGGGCCCCGTGCCGAGACGAGCGCGAACAGGTCCCCGCCGGGGCAGAGGTCCAGCACCAGGTGCACGGCGTCGGCGTCCTCGAAGGCGGCGTGGAGCGCGACCACGTGGCGACTGGCGGCCGACGCCAGGAGGTGTACCTTGGGCTCCTGCTCCGCCAGCGCCAGGTCCAGCGGGTCCGCCTCCAGCTCCCGCAGCGCCGCCTTGGGCGTCGTCTTGAGCGCGAACGGCTCCCCCGTGGCGGCGGCGTAGCAGCGGCGGACCGTCCCGAACCGCCCGCGCCCGATCTCCTCGCCGATCACGTACTCCCGCCGCAACGCCTCCTCCGCGGTGCCGCTCATGGTCATGCTCCTTGGTCCGGTGGTTTGTTGCACTTGCTGGGTTGGCCGGCCGGCTGGGTGGGTGCGTGCGCTGTGTTCTGGTCTCCAGTTCTCCACCCTCCGGACGGCGAGGACGCCTTTTAATGCGGCAGGAGTCACTGCAGGCTTTGGGTTCAGGTGGGGGACTGGGTCCCAGCCTCCCAGTGATCCGAATATTCCACGCTGCCTCTGCTGTTTTGGTCGTTACTGCTGCTACTGGCTACTGCTAGCCATTGAGGGAGTTTCGCCTAATTAAGATCGTACCACTGTGTATATTTAGAAAGCGAATCAACGGTTAATTAAATTTGACAAAAACAATCTATGATTCCAGAATCGCGCTCCCCCAGATTACGAATGTCTTACTTACTTGCCCAATGATTCGGATTTTTTTTCCTCCGAAATAAATAATAGATTCTATAGTTTTCCTAAAAAAGATAAAAGATTCTTGCGTTTAGTACATTACTAACGCGTGTCATTGCCGGAAAGGGTTAGATTAGGCGAGACGTGGTTTTCGGCGACCGGTTTTGGATAAATTAATGAATAATGATGGAGATGCACGTATCAGGCAAGTGACAGCATGGCCGATGGGCCCCAGGAGACAGTGAATTATTGGGGGGCGTCAGGTGTGCATGCAATGCGACGCAACGTGGCCTCTCTGGAGGGGGGGCCACCGGGCCAGGACGCCCGACAGGTCTGCCGCGCCGTAACGGCGTAACCCTGGAAGTGCTTGGTGGGGTGGGACATGCATGCATGGTGTTCCATGACTTGACTCCATCAGATCAGCGTCTTCTTCCGTTTTGGTCTCTTTGTTAATATACGAAAAAAAGTGGCTGCTGCTTCTGTGTTTTTTTTGAGAGAACAGGAGGGGCCAAAGCCCCTACTGAAGATTTATTAGAAAAAATGTAACAAAGATTGTTACCAGATAATAAAAAACAGAGGAGGAGAAGAACAGAAGAAAGGGCAAATGCAGTTCAAGAGACAAAAAAGAATAGAAAAAAATAAGTTGGATTACACAATCCGTAGGTCCCGTTCGTTTATGCTGTGAGCAGAGGCGGAGCCATAATTCTGTCGCAGGAAAATATTTCGATCTTACTTCCTAGGCTCTTTTGTCTAATTAAGGTCATAGTTTTTAGGGCTAGGGCTACATGGAAAAGCGGACCAAAGACGGATTATGTTTAAACACCTCCAGGCACCTTTGACCAAAGACTTGTTTAAACACCTCTAGGCACCTTTGACTGCTCTTCTAAATTCCCCTAAAAATGGCATCATTCCTAATCGTCCAAATGCTCTAGCTCATGATGATCAAGATTTCCATAAAAGAAGGGCAAAGCTAACTGAAACCTGAAGCTTTCAAGCACTTGGAATGAGCTCAGATAATCATCCACTGTCAGGCCAAGCCTGAACCAACACTCTTTTGCAAAACCGCATTTCAGAAAAAGATGTTCTACTGTTTCTTCACTACTATCAGCACATAGCACACAGTAGTAAGATGGCAGGAGGAGGTTCTTTCTTCTCAGAATATTCTTGGTACTTAATCTATCTTAAGCCAACAACCAAAAGAAGACTTTGTATTTGTGTTGACATGAGGATTTCCAAATCCACTTGAAGACAGAGTGAGTCGGGCTGGTACCTTTGAGATGATGGTAAGCCTTTCTAGATGAAAATATGGTGCTGTCCATATATATGACTAGACATCCTGATAAGTACTGATCTAAAAGTTCTGTAGAGAGTTCTGAATATTCTGAAATTTGCCAAAAGCTTCTTCAGACAAAGGAAGATTGAATAAATCTATAAGAGGTGATACTGCAAATGCAGCAGCAAGTGAAATATTTAGCTTCTGTTCTTCGAAGCTTAATACGTACGTTAGTTATGATCGGAATGCTTCGGTGTTTCGGGTAGCTGAGGTTGGTGACAACTGACAGGTATGGTTGCATGGCCGGCAACCGGCAGTACCGAAGCGAGACACTATAAAATCGAAATGCTGTGGTGTGGTGGTGTCGGCGTCGACGTTAGCTAGCGCGAGCACAGGCGGTCCATGACACACTAGAATTCATCCGTCCATACACATGATTTCAACTTCATGCATGACTAGGACTGTTGGACTACCTGCCTCGTGAGCGTCTATGCATGCGCCGCCAAATCGATCCACCGGCACCAGCTGCTAGCTGCACTGCTTTCGTTCTTGTATCTACAAACAGTCTCGGAGGCGAGGTTAGGAGTAATGTGTCTGTGTGCCGCGACGTACGTACGTGCGGTGCGGGGCAGCCTGCAAACTCGGCGGAACAATCACATTCAAGTACCTTATAATTGGCTTTTTTGACCTTCCAAAACAGTATTTTTTTCTCCCAACAAACCAACCAAACCATGGCTTATCAGCCGAGCGAGCGGACCTAACAAGGCTCCGGGTGCGTGGTAGTACCGTACCATGCATGTCACGTGTATGTGTAATTTATTGTGCATGAATACGCGCTGAGGACCGGACCTCACCTAGTACGGATGGAGTACGATCCTATTGTGCTGGTCGTTCTGTTTACAGTATCGGTTCTTGGCAGTGGCAGCAGCCGGCCGGTTTCGAGCAGTCCGCCCGCCCGCATTGATGCTGCTAGCTAGACTTGCTACAGAGGAACCCAAGGAACGCTCAGCGCCGCCGCCGCCGTCGTTGAAAGAGCCCACGGCCGGGAACGTACGCAGGCTCGAGCTCGAGGCCGTCATGGGCGGGCGGGCGCACGTACGAGTTAGTTATAGACGAGACGAGCTAGTCGCGCGCAGCTCGCAAGTCCATCAGCCGCCGCGCGCGTGCAACACCAAACACGTTGCGCTCCGAACCCCCGCGCGGTCCGGACCGGAGCGCCTGGCGCGGCAGCGCCCCCTCCACCCGCCTGGCCTGGACTCCTGGCCTGAATCCAAGCCCGTCGACGACGACGACGCGATTTGGCCGGGCGCGCGGGTGGCGAACTGGTGATCATTAGGCAGGCGCGCCACGACGCGATTTGGCCGGGCTCGCGGGGCGGGCGGGCGGTGAACTGGACCTAGACCGGCCGGGCAACGGACGGAGACCGACCGCGCGCGCCACGCCACGACGCGATTTGGCCGGGCGCGCCGGCGGCGAACTGGTGATCATTAGGCTGGCACGCTCCATGCTCCGGAGACTCAACGTACGTGCGCGAATTTTCCAGCGATTGACCTCTTGTCGATTTCTAGCTCCACTTCCACGCTCCGCGGAGACCCAAGTACCCAACGTACGTGCACGAATTTGTTACCTACGTACCACGCCGCCAGCCATCGACCTCTCGTCGATTCATCGTCCGTCCGCGCACGTATTCAGTTATTTGGAGTACATATAAAAATAATCTCAGGAATTTTCACCATCACACCGGCGACCGGCCAAACTGAATCCGGTATTAGCCATTCATCCAGAGATGGTGACGTCACTGAACCGCGGAGCAAATTTGTTTGTTGTATAAGGGCATGTTCGGTTGTAAGGGATTAATTCCCCCCGTGGAACCAATCCACACAGCTGCAGGTGGGGAGATCGCTGAGGTGCAGGGTGCCTTTGTGGGGATTCGTTCCTCTGCAGGTAGCCTCCGCACGTTCTGCTGCATGTAGCCTCTGCAAGGATTCATTCCATGACTCTAGAGGCCTGGCTTGATTCCAGGCGAGGTGAAGGGGTTTCTGCTGCATGTGGCCTCCGCAGGATCCTCGAGTGGGTTAAGAGTGCACACGTTTTAGGAAGGAACGGGGATTGAATAGTTCTGGGTACGTCCACAACCGAACAAGCCCTAAGGAAAGGAATAGTGGCAAGGATTATGCATGATTGCCTGTTTAATATTCGTGGTGATAAATAAAGTAGCAGATGGAAATGACGATTTGAGTATGGCTAGTGATAGAAGGCGCGGAGTATTATATTTATATAGTATAGTGCCAATACATGATGACGGGTTTTCAGTTAAATATCAAAGTATAAAACAATTTAGGGCGTTCTACTTCTACTCTTCATGAAGGTTGCAGCGGCCAGCAAGCAATCATGAAGGTTGCAGCGGCAAGCAGACGTACATGTGCTGGTTTCCTCGATTCGGCGAGTTGTACACGCCGACGACGCTACGCCTTGATAGCCCAGCAACAGACGGAGTGCAGTTTTCAATGGCCGCCGCGGTAGCCCAGCAACACAGGCACCCCGAGCACCACCGCCACCACGCCCCTCGACACGCTCCTCCGCGGCTCCACCTGCTCCGCACGGGGATGGTGGGGGCGTCGGTTCGGTGACCACTACCGGTACGGCGAGGGCGAGCGCGACGGGAACGCTGCACCGACGGCAATGCGCGATCGGCGCAGTCGCTAGAGGCGAGCGTGTGCGCGGAAGAGAGCGACGGAATGCGCGTTCGCCACAGGGAGGCGAGCGTGTGTGCCGCGGCAGGGAGCGACGGGCGATCGGGCCTGGCAGTCTCCGCGTGAGTCGCGGTGATGCGCGTGATTATAGCGGCGGAACGCGTGATTAGAGGCGGCACGGTGATTAGCGTGAATCGGGCGCGGGCGCGAGAGGCTGAGCAGGTTGACACAAACCATTGGCCCTTGGATTTGAGTGAGTAAGGAGAGAGAAGATTTACACTAAATCTAGACAGTCTATTTTAATGATGCTGTTTTTTTTTGGGATGGATGGAGGCTTTTCAGCTAAGGACGTTTTCTTAGGTGAGTTTAGCAAAGAAAAAGTTGGTGAATTAGTAGGGTATGATTGTATATCATATTCGTATATACTAGCACTGTGCACCGGCTTTGGCTTTGCTGGCGAGAGCTGACAACATGGCATGTAAAAATTTATTCCGAGTTGGATGCTAACATGGAAAATACCCCTTTCTCCTCCAGGATTAAACGACAAATGCTACCATGGCCCAGCAAAGAGTTATGGTGCTGCATTGATCTCCCTTCTCTTGCGTCGCTAAATCTTCCACAAGACCCAGCAACGTGGCCGTCCGTCCTGCTCACAATCTTAG